AGTTCAGCTCTCAGACCCCAGCACTCATGTTACAAACTGGGCATAATCCCAGCCACACCCGTGACCCCAGCACCCATGTGACAAACTGGGCATAATCCCAGCCACACCTGTGACCCCAGCACCCAAGTAACAAACTGGGCATAATCCCAGCCACACCTGTGACCCCAGCACCCAAGTAACAAACTGGGCATAATCCCAGCCACACCTGTGACCCCAGCACCCAAGTAACAAACTGGGCATAATCCCAGCCACACCTGTGACCCCAGCACCCAAGTAACAAACTGGGCATAATCCCAGCCACACCCGTGACCCCAGCACTGGGGGAAACAGAGACAGGAAACTCCAGCTCCAGGTTCAGGGAGTGACCCCGCCTCAAAGGGATATCACTGATCGAAGCGAACACTGGCCTCCTCTGGCCTCCACCAAGCACACACATGTTCACACAACAAAATTAAAGAGGAGAGGGTTGGCGCCACCCGTTTTGGGGTGTGAGACACACTACAGTGAGAAGCAGGAGGGACCCGAGGTTACATTTCATCCCAGGTGAGGGGGGGCCACACGCTGCAGCTGTGGCCTGGGGTTCTGGAGAGAGAACAGCAGGGAACTAGCAGGCCGTGGCTGTGATAGGAGAGGGTTGTGGGGAGCAGAGCACTGGAGGCTGCAGCCTATGAGGGCACCAGGGGTGACTTGCTGGCCTGGGCTCAGGTGAACGGTAACACCAGATCCTGCCATTGGAGGATGCAGGAGGAGCAGGTGGCCGGACACCCTTCTGGTTGATGGGTTCCCTATTAATCCGCCTCTGTGGGCGGATGACCAAACACTCAGCATCTCAGCGCTGAGCTAGGTTTCACTTCACTGTCTGCCAAGGGGCGATGGCAGCCCCCGGCCAGCATCCTCTTACTTTGATACCTGTGGGCCCATGTCCCCCCAGCTCCCCTCACCATATGGAACGGGGGCTCCACAAAAGGCAGACCCTTGGAGCAGACTGGGCTCGGGAGGGACTTATCCTGGAGACACCATCCCCGGACACCTCTGGGCATCCTCCCACCAGACCGGCATTTCCTGATTGAGAAACACGTGCAACAGCATGTTCGGCGGCACTCAGTGACGCTTTCCCTGACAGGTGGGACAGGCTCTGAGGACAGTCTTCTGCAGTCAGACTCCACTGCTGCACAGGCATGCTTAGAGAAACATCCAGAATGCACTTGCCCAGCTCAAAGACCCAGGGTGGTGCCCGGCATCAGGCGCTCCATGGGACCTGGAAGAAGGGTGTGGCAGAGGCCTACTGCACAGCCAACAGGAAAGCATTTTACTGACTCAAGGGGACTCCAAGCCACGATTTTAGAAGTGACATCCACACCCTAAAGGGTTCACCTCCCTCTACTAAAGGTGCTCAGCTGCAGTCCTGACACCCAGCCATGTACCATCGTCTACCTCCCCAAGCACCACTGCTCAGATCTGTATTCCCCAGGGACACACTGGAAATCCAGGGGAACCAGAATCCGCTAGCTTCTTGGTCTTAGCCTCAGGCTGACCCCTAGGGGACAGCTGGAGTACAGCAAGGTGCTGGGTGCCCGGCCCAGAGCATTAGGGTTTGCCTCTAGCTGGCCCCTTTGAAGATCCTGCCTCCGAAGAGCTCTGGTTTTGCCCCATCTGGCTGGTTTGGTGACACTTAGGAGCCCACAGGAAGGAGCTGGCCCAGGTCCACCATCCTGTCCGGTTCAGCAGAACAAACCAGGTCACCTGCCATGTCCACCACCTCAACTGGGTGCTCTGGCTAGTTGAGCCACTTGTTAGCCCCAGAGCTGTGTGGACAGAAAGAGGATTCCCAGAAGAGCCCCAAACACACTCACATTATACAATCCCACGGGAAAGAGTGGGGGTGGCTATGATGTCTGACCCCCCTCTTTCTACCTCCCTGGAACCTCTGGATTTTGGAAAACAACAACAACAAATACATCACTTTACAAAAACATTCCTTCTTGGGGGGTCAGGACCTCCAACCCTATTTCTCTTTACTAAATGCACCATCTTTTCTGGCCGTGGTTGTGACAGCATGGGTTTCACAAAAGCAGCTGGAGCCACGGGAGCATGCCCCTGCGCCTGGGTAGCCCTGGCCTCAGTGCTCTGTTTCCCAATGTCTCAGCACATGCTCCGTTTTGACACACTTTTGAAACATCGGAACCCAGGGGTAAAAGGGATGAAGAAGAGGCTTGGGGGTTGGGGGCAGGGGTTAAGTCAGACCTAGACTGGTTGAGCAAGTCTTGCTTCACAGCCAAGGAAGCTGCGGCTCTGATATGTTGAGGGGAACTTGCTGAGGCTGCACGGCTGGCCAGTGGCCAAAGTGAGGTATGGACCCCATTTTAAATGATGGTACGGTCTACTCACTCCTGCACCCTCCACAAAGGCCGGACCCCAAAAGACTCCTGGGTCACTTAGTGTCTGCCATGTTGGGGGTTCTCGCTCCCAGATCTGGCCCCAAACGCATCCACTCCCATGCACTGGGCCCAGTAAGACAGATCTGGAGCCCTCAGCTTGCACAGGAGCCCCAGTTATCCTGGCCCACCTCGAAGGGGTCTCATGTTGAGCACAGTCTGGACACCTGACCCCTACCCTGGCCCCACACAGGCTGTGGCTTTAGTCTCTGCCACCTGCCGACTGTTACATAAAATTTACAGGTGGCCCCTGGTGTGCGTGACCAGGCCTCTGTGCTAAGCAGACCAGACCAAAGGAGCCTGGTTTATGATGATGTTTCATGCCATTAAAACTGAGACTAAGCTCCTATGTGACCTCCCCAGAAACCAGGAGAGTTTTAGCTGGCACAATAAGGAAATCCCCTGCTCCCTTAACCCTTTCAAAACAGCAGTCTGAGGCTGGCCAATCAGCTTTTTGTCCCTACTATTCAGTTTCCTTGTTCCTGTGATACTTAACACTACGTGCTTAAGAGATCTATAAAACAAAAAAGCCTCTAACCTGTAAGCCCACTTGCCCAGGGACAGATAACTTCCTGGAACGCTGGGGGCTGTTCATGTAAGACAACAAGCTGGTGTTTTGACTTCTGTAAGTAAGCTTGGTTGCCCCAACTGCACAGGATGTGTGCTTGATCCCATGAAGGAGGGAGGTGCATAGGCAGGAAGTATGTCAGGATGCATGCTTGCCCCTGATTGGATGAAGGCAGGAAGTATGTAGTCTCCTGGGTTTTGCCTTTATAAGTCTCTGTCTAATGTAATTTAGGGCTATACTCTGAGCATGAGTCTCAGGTATGGACCTGGCCAGTATCCGTGGTCCTAGTCAGTATTTAGTAAAGCCTCTTATGTATTAAAATTTATTCATGGTCAGATTGGTGAATCTCTGAACAACCCCAGACCCGTAGCAGTTCCCACCTTACAAGTCACTGTTCCTGCCCTGGACCTGTGTGTTAGACCTGCTGTCTCTGTGGCAGAGGCCTAAGAAAATAAAGGAAGGGAGAGAGGGAGAGAGGAAGAAAGGACTTATTTTGGCTCATGGTTTCGGAGCCTCCCTGGGGTCCATTGCTTGGAGCCTGAGGTAAGACAGAGCAACATGGTAGCAGGAAAGTGTGCCAGAGGCTGCAAATCTCTTGGTGGCCAGGAAGCCTGCAGGGATGGGGAAAGGTGTGTATGTGTGGGGTGGGAACCTGGTCTGTCTGCTTTCCCCTCCTTTGCCCTTTTATTCCAGCCTGTGGGATGGTGTTGCCCATTTATCCAGGGCAGATCTCCTTTTAGTTAACCCTCTCTGGAAACACCACCCTGTTAGGATTCTGCCACTCCTCCAGCTGTATGACCGCACATGCGCGGTTCAGTAGCTAAGCAAGGGGTCTTACGTCTTACATCATCCGTGCGCTGCATGATTATGTAATGTGCGCAGCATGGTCACGCAATCTGTGCATCCGAGGTGTGGCTCCCTAAGCCCACAGGTGCATGTGCAGGAGAATCCTTAAAAAGCCGGTCACAGACCCCTCCCCTCTCTTCTGCTCTCTCCTCCTCCCCCATCCCTCCCTTCTCCTGCATATGTCTTTCACAGACCTGGTCACCCTCTTCTGCCCCTCCCCCCACCTCCTCCTAATAAAGCTCTGATACTGGGTTTTGTCGTGTCTCATGACCTTTCTCCCACGGTAACCAGAGCCACGTATTTAAAACCAACACACGCCCCATACACACCCTGACATGGCCCTTCCTTATCTAGGTGCTTCTCAATCTGGTGAGGCTGACAGGATCAATTGTGATAATCTAGGTAAACAATTACCACCAGGCTACACCCCAGCCCTGATCATCACGATCCTTAGATTATTTATACTTTTGACAGTGCCTTGGCCTTCTCCAACAGTCCGCTTGGCCACCCTCAGCATTATGAGACCCCTTATAGGTTCCCATCCCCCAAGTCCTGCCCACTGAAGCTCACTTGGACTCCACCACCCGAAGCATCCAGAGATCCTGGTCATCAGCTAGTGTGGTCTAGGCTTCTTTCATTTCCAGGGGGAGTGGCCTCAGGATGAAGTTCTAACCCAGAGTCAGACAGGTTCTGGAGCTGACTTGGATGAGGAACCAAAACAGGCCTCTTCCAGCAGGACAGTGCGTTTGCAAAAACAGTTCTGTGACTCAGTTTCTCCTCAGCAACACTGGTAAGTTGGAGGAAGATACTACGTGGCCCCAGTTCCTATTCCACCATGCCTCCCTAAGGGCTTCACTGTGCCTGTCCCAAAGTGATGTCTTTTTTCTTTTCTTATTTTAGCTTGAGACAGCCTTGCTATGTAGCCCAGGCTGGCCTCAAACCTGTAGCAATCTCCCTGCCTCAGCCTCCTAAGGGCTAGGATTAGAGGCATGTACCCAGCTCTCCCAAGGTGGTTTTTTGACTTTGACGCCAGAGGGCCATCAGAGGAAGTCCCAGTCCTTGGAGATGCCGCAAAGCCAAGCCCCGGTGCCAATGGCAAGAAGGATAGAGAGCCAAGCGCCGGAGGCACCGAGGCCATCCATGGCCCTTACCTGCTCCACACAGTCTGGGATCTCCGGAGAACATGGCAGGGTCCCCGCGCTCTCCACTGACAGCACGTCCTTCAGTAGCTCCTCGCACCCTGTGGACAGACAGACAGAGAGTGGTATGAGCCTCAGCCCGCATGGCTCATCTTCTTCTCACTAATGGGCCTTGGAGGGAACTGATGGAGGAAACAGGTGGCCCATGTCTCCAACACACTGTCAGGGGAGGAGATGCCCAGCTATGCGGGGCTGGTTCAGGGAACGACACAAGGTGTCAGGAAGGCACCTGATGAGGAACTTCTTCTGTGGGACTAATCCCAGTGGGGACACAGAGAGGAGACACAAACGCAGAAGCAGGCTGAGTGCAGGGAAGGACCTAGGCTGGGAAGTCCTCCCCTCTGTGTACAGGGGCTACCTGCCACGTTCCCTACCGACGCCCTGCTCCGAAACTCTAGATAGGGCCATCCTCTAGATAGGCTCTGACACCCTGCTGAGCCAGTTACACAGGTGGACCAGGGGCTCAGCACAGGCACAGGGCAGGAGTGGTCTGAGCCGGTCCACAGAACCAAACAAATCACTGTAGACACTTAGTAGGCTTTCTGTGCTGCCTCAGTTTCCCCAGCGAACTCTGTTCCCCTCTCACTTCTGTTTCAGAATTCTTGCTCCTTTCCTACTTCCTGGAACTCCAAGGACGCTGCAGGGATGAGTCGCCCAGACCTCACCACAGGAGGGAGAGCCTGGCTGCCATCACAGGTGACAGGACTTCTCTGGAAGGAGCTGCATGTTCTCCTGGGGCCAGGGGGAGGCCTCAGAAGTCCTCCTGGCCACTCAGGGCCCGGAGGGAGTGTGATGGAAGATTGAGTACCAAAATTCTGATTTTTACGAGTTTCTCAAAACTGACCTTGGAATTTTGAAAAGGAAAACAAACAAACAAACAAACAAAAGGAATGGGGGAAGGAATGAATTAGGAAGGGTTAAGAGGAGAGAGGGCAGTTAATAAATAAGGGGCCCCTAAGAGAAGAGAGACATGGCAGCCAGCTCCACCCAGTTGTGGCCAGAACTGGATTCATTTGACTATTTTTTCCCCTCCCATTGCTGGCTAGGGAGCCCAGAGCTTTGCACTAGTTAGGCAAGCTCTCGACCACTGACTGAGCAAACCCCAACCCTCCCCCTGGAGTGGGAAGTCGAGGAAACTCCTCTGGAGCATAGCCATGCCAGCAGGAGAGGGGTGTCAAGAGGAGAAAAGCCGAGAAGAGCAGTTCTCCAGAGGGGGGGATACGAGAAGGGCAGAAAGGCCGTCCTGCCCCTGGTGATGGAGCCCTGTGGCAGGGGTTCAGAGAGAGAGAGCGCCACGGCGCCATGCACTACCCACGCCCAAGACCTTTCCCTTCAGCCCCCACGGGTCACTAGGAACAGAGTCCATTTCTGGGACCCACCTGGGCTCTGGGAACCCCGTGTGCTGGCCTCCTAGCCGGATAGGACCCCGAAGAGGACCTCACCTTTCATGGCGAACACTCCTCGGCAAAAATCCTTAAAGTTGATTCTGCCCAGGTCATTGGGATCCAAACACTTCACAAGTTTTTCCACCTTTGGGAAGGAAAGAGGACAGGCGTGAAGCACCCTGGACACCCCAAAGTCCAGGACACTGGGGCAGAAGGTCGAATGGAGGGGGGTGGGTCTCGCCAATTAAGCCAAAAGGACACCAGTGTTACCAACTTGGTCTTTTCGCCTGGGATCATGTTATTCCCCTCTGTTTAAGACTCACGTAAGGAAAGGCAAAGAGGGCCTCATCCGTGTAGGGTGTGGTCCCACAGGCTTCTCCAGACCTGCTCCAAAGACAGCATACTGAAAGCCAGTACTCCGCTACCAGGTTCACGGTGTGTCTATTTTGTAGACAGGGTCTGGCTATGTAGCCCAGGCTAGCTTAGAACTAAATTCTCCCGGAGCTACGTCCCCAGCCTATGAAGTTCAGCTTCTTGACTTTTTTTTTTTTTTTTTTTTCCAAATTAGCTCGTACCTTGGTAACAGCTTTGCAAAACGCTCATTCGGTCCTTCAGTCATTTACTCATTCATTAAACAACTGGTCACTGCGTGCCTCCTACTTGTCTGATACTTGACTAATGTGGATGGTGGTAGCTAGCTAGTTACACATGGTCACATGGATACACACCCACACTCATGCACCCCGTTAGGCAACATCTCCCTAGTCATCATCATCTTCGGAAACCATCATCCATGGCAGGGCGAGGCTTTTGGTGACACGGTGGCTCTGGGGTTACCCGTGCTTTGTAGGTAGTAATAAGCCCGATAAACTCAGTGGCTCCCTGGTGAGCTACACCATGCAGAACAGGTGTTTGTGTCTATCTTCCTCGGGAAAAGGTTTACAAAACAAGGACAAGCTCTTTCTGGAATTCCCTCTGGCTGTGCTGCAGGTGATGGTATGAGAGCATGCTGGGAACACAGATGTAGCATGCAGGACAGGAATCTGTCACTGTTGTGGTGTTGGCACCATCACAGGCAGGCCTGTTCTCAAGCCCACTCTGCTTGTCACATGTGGCAAAGCACAGGCAGGTGGGAAGACTCATCTGCTCACAGACTGTCCTCCTGCACATCCACAGCATGGCAATTGCAGCAGGCATCTGAAGCCCGGGTCCCCGCAGTAATCCAGAATCAAGGACTGGGTCCAGTGGGCTTCAGTGAGCACAGCTCCTACCACAGCTACCTCTCCATCCCCGCTCATGGTGGCTGTGTGTACCTCTATTCCAGCTAGCCTTGCTTTTCCACTCTGCGGAGTCTGAGACTGAGGGATAACCCAGAGGCTATGCAATGTCCTAAGATGTTTCTGAACCTGGTACCTAGTGGACCATCCCTTGGATCCAGGCATCCCCAACTCTAAGGGTAGGATGCTATCGCAGAGGTCCAGAGAGACCCATAGCCCTGTGCACTACCCATGGCTGTGGAAGTCCCAGCCCCTTCCCCTCAGCCTCCATGGGGCTGTAGAATTCCACGGAAGAGGGAAGAGGCTTTTTGCCAGCTCAGGCCTGGCCAGAGCACCCCCAGCATTACAGCTGTCAGCCGGACCCCACCCCCACTACCACAGAAGCCACTGACATTACCAGGCAATGACATGGCTTCTGAGAACAGTACTGCCCAGGTGCCACCTGCAGGCTCCAGCTGGCCACCCTCCTCCTCTCCTCCTGCTACCCCTCCCCGCCATACAGAGAGCCTGTGAATGTAAGGAGGGCCTGGGACACCCTGACCCCCACCTTCCCCCTCCCAGCCTCTAGGACCTTACCCCTACACCCCTACAGCCCTCCCCAGGGTCAGGGGCTATGCCTTAATTATTTGGGGAACAAGCCCAAGGCACTTACTCCAGAGTGCTCAGTGGCTGAAGGTGAACTATGAGGCACAGCAGGGTCTTTAATCCCCTGGGTCTGGAGACATCACTGGGCCAGGCTGTCCATCCTCTGAATTCCAGAGAAAGCTAGTACAGAGGTGGGGGCTGGGGAGTGTGACTGATGACAGATACATAGATGTGAGGAGGGTCTAAGAACCACCAAATAGTCCACAGCAGTGGTTCTCAACCTTCCTAAGACTGTGACCTTTTAATACAGTTCCTCATGCTGTGGTGACCCCCAACCATAAAATTATTTTTGTTGCTACTTTGTAGCTGTCATTTTGCTACTGTTATGAATCATAATGTAAATGTCTCATATGCACCCCTATGAAAGGGTCTTTTGACTCCTCAACGGGGTCGGGACCCACAGGTTGAGAACCTATGGATATACTCCAGGATACAGTTAGGAGTCCCAATTTCTATGACTCCCTTCTCTACAGCCACTCCCACGAAGCTCTCAAGGACGGCAGTCCTGGGGCGGTGGCCACGTATACGATAAGACAGCTTTGTGGAGACAGTATGATTGGTAAATTTTTATATCACATGCAGTTAGCATCCATAAAGACCACAACAGTGGTTACAATGGCTTTTTAAATAAGACTCTAGCAGCGTGGTGTAGAAAGGGGTGAAAAATCCTTGCTAGGCCCACGAGGGCTCCCTGTGAGCCATTGAAACAGTAGCTGCTATGACAGTCCCCATGCTAAGGTTGAGGACATTGAGGATCAGATAAATTAAGCCCCTTACGCAGTCACCAGCAGTGGCAGCTACTGAACCAGGTCTTCCTGACCCTAGAGTATCAGCGGCTGCAATCTACTGCTACTCTGCCCTATGCAAGGTGTGTGGCCTCTGCTGGGCCAGAGCCAGGCTCTCACCGGCCTGTGTGTGTCAAGTACTGATTCAATTCCCCTAACTCTGCCTATGAAGACAGCTCTAGGCTGGGGGTGTCATTGTGTGGGCATGTATGTGCAAGCCCTGGCCTCTCTCCCTAACATGGTCAAAGAAAGATAGAGGCGCTGTATTTGAAGTCAGCCTAGGCTACAAAAGAGACCCTGTCTCAGAAAACAAGCAAAACCCAAACACACAAAACCCTAAAAACACACAGAAAGGGAGCGGGCCTGGGGGGTGGGTGCACACCTGACTTTGACACTGGGAATCTGCACTGCATCTGGAGCCAAGTCCCAGGAAGGGGAAGGGGCTCGCTCCTGGCAGGGAGCACAGCAGATGACACGAATACCCAGCGGGTGTGGATGTCACGCAGTCCTGGGCTCCTCTGGCTCCCATGAGAGGGGAAAGCAAGCTCCAGACCTGGCAGGGATGACAGGAACAGCTGAGTGCGCACAGCTGGACCAGCAGCTTGCTGCCAGGGGAACTGGTGCCTCTGCTGCCAGAGAACTGCTGGTCTTTCGTACTGGGAACCATCCAGTTACCAGGCTTCCCCTTCTATTTCTATTGCTCCTCTCTTCAGGCTGAGTTTCTCCATTCATCACCCACAGTCACATCTTTCTGATGGAAGGATGCTGTGAAGCTGTGAGCCACACTGTGGTCTGCTTACCAGCAAGATTTCCCCCTGACCCCGGCTGGCCTCCCACACCTCCCCCATGCAGGCCCAGCAAGCCGGCGAAGGCTAAGCAGAGGTCTCAGCCGCCTCTTTGAACAAGGAGATAAGCAGGCTTAGCTGTGGCTCTCAGCACCTCGAGGCGCTGAATAAATATTAGCCGTTCCTACCAGAGCAAGTGCGGAGGAGCAACTGCCTTTGTGCCGGGCACTGTTCCGTCTCTCTCTAGACAGCGTTGTTTCAGCCTCCCGGGCCTCTGGATCCCAAACAGAATTCTTGTTCCCATTTTACAGATGAGGAAATACGCAAGGCTCAGGCATTCAGGGTTAAGGGCATACAGCCATGAGGAGGCAGCTGAGCCCAGGTGACCCCCAGTAATTATTGCTACTGAAATAATTATAATTACTTATACGTTCAGGGGCTTGCTCCAACTAGAGAAAGAACAAAGCGAAGAAATTTTGACTAGAAAAACTGGCACCAGTACAGGGAACCCTTGCTTAAGAATTTGAATATTAAAGAAAAAATTACCGCTAACAGAAAGGTTGCCAGCTAGCATCCCAGACCGACTGCAGACTTCAAATCTGTTACGGAGATACCCACATTAAAGTTGGAGGAAGAAGGGCGTGGTGGTAAGTGCCGTAACCTCCAGCCCAGCCTAGTCCGCACACAGAGACCTGTCTCAAAGCAAACCCCCCAAACACAAATAAAACCAACCAGGGTGAGCCGGAGCAGGCACCCCAAATTCCATCTCTCCCACTGACCACTGCCGAGCACGGCATGAAGGACTTAGGGAGATAGGACTGTACGAGGTGAACTGAGGGAAAAGAGAAGCTTGCATGGGGGGCAGAGGTATCTTTACTTTTCCTATTTCCTGTGCCGCAGACGTGAAGAGGGAGGGCTCTAAAGGAACCCTCTTCCTGATGCAAAGCTGGGGACAGTCCCATCCGAGACACAAAATGAGGAAGACACCCTAGTTGCTTCTTTCTCTCTCTTCTTCCTCTGTGTGTGTGTGTGTGTGTGTGTGTGTCTGTCTGTCTGTCTGTCTGTCCAGTCTGTCTTTCCCACAAGGCAAACTCAGGTCCCAAAGCTGAGTGGTGGCAGCAGCCACACAGTATGTGAGCATGGCGTGGTAGAGCAGTGGGGGATAGATAGTCGGGTGGGGGTGAAGTAGGAAAAGGAGGCCCTGGGAACTGGACAGGGCGGGACACTGAGAAGGCAGAGCTCGGGAGTGGATGAAGACCCTTAGAGCGCGGCTGAAGTCCTGAGCCCTGCCCTGAGCTGCAGAGGTGGCGAGCTGGTCAGTTCAGAACTGAGCCGCTGACTGAGGAGTGGAGCGGCCCAGCCCCGGTGTGCATCCTTTGGGCCCTGAAGAGCATGGCAAAGGCTCTGGGGTCTGAACGGACTAAGTTAGAAGAGCTGCTTAGAGGACAAGTGGGGACGCCAGGCTTCCACCCAACTGGACTAATTTCCTAATTAAAAACAAACCCACACCATGCTAACACACACACACATACATACACACACACACACACACACACACACACACACACACACACACACACACACACACGTTATTATTATTATTATTATTATTTTTACATTATTATTTTTAAAGGGGAGGCTGGAGAGGGGGCT